GGTGGGTGGGTGTACTTGTGCAGTTTATTTTGCAATCTTCACATTTCAGTCTCAACCACCGATTAACCAACATTTGTAGTTTACATGTTCTGATTCCTTGTTTGCTTAATACCTTTTTGAAAGAGCCATTACCCATCTTGTCAGCCCAAGATTTTACCATTGCACCAAGCAGTGGTCTTTGGCATCCTTGCTTAACAAATTTTTATTTGAAAAACTAATTGATGTCAGGTTGGGAATATGATCTTCTGGTTTTTCTTCAGCATCTTGGGTCAGCCAATGTGTGTCCTCCTGTATTACCATGATTTAATGAACAGAAAAATGACGACCCAGTAAACCACCAGTCTCTCCGTCGCCTGTTTGATGGCTGAAAAAAAGCTTTGAAATTGATGGTTGGGGGAGATTGTCTTGGCATCCACTTTTGATGCAGGATGAGTGGACGATATCATTGATCATCTAATTTGTGCTGCTTTGGAATGCACTGAACCGGTTCGTGTACCTAGCCACTGAAGTTTGTACTTTGTACAAGACCCACATATACATATTTCATTTTGATCGGTAGTGTATGCAATCAACTCCATAAACCCAAGCGTGGAGGGATGATTATTGACACTGACATTAAGTATGCCACTAAGTTGTGGCAAACTTGTCACTTGTAATGTTGGTAGATCGTGATGTATGTTTCACTCATCATTCGTTACCTATTTTTGACTTACTGTATTTGGGCGCTCCCTGTAGGAGTTGAGACCCGCTGAAGTAACAAACTAACGACTGTAACAATCTATAGCATCTCTCTCCGTAGAATCTCCTTGCTATATTGGTACCGTGGCCACCAAACATGGCCGTTTCTACCTGAATTGCTGCTACATCGGTACCAGCTAGGTATTTTTTTTTGTAATTCAAAGGTTAAATTTCTGTTTGAATGGGTTGATTGCTTATATATATCCTGTATATTTAGGAAATTACTTTTGTTGAAAGGTTAAGTCCAACAAGATAAAATAAGAGACAAAAATATTCTCAACTGTTCAATAAGTTTTTAAAATATGCCATTTTTTTTCTTATTTTTTGTTTATTCTTCTTTCTTCTTTGATGCTGCAAACATGAAACACCAAATCCCCAGACCCACGCAACTGGAACATCAATCTGGCGTAGACCATGGAATGATTCCATGGTCCCTAGCCTTGCATCCGAATCCAAAATTCCAAATAATGGAGAAGAAAAGACACACCACAGCGTGAACAACTCGGCAACAACAGAAACCTTCGTCACCTTAACTTGTTCAAATTTCAAACCCAATCTGTTACGTCAAAATCAACTATCCATTTGGCAAAAAAACCATACCATATTCCTTAACACATGAAGGACAAATTTTACGAGACATCAATGACAAAAGCTGTTGAAAATCCTAAACAACTTGGCTCTTTTGTCGAGTACACTTGTTGAGGAAATGATTAGCTCCAAAACCCCAAAATTTGGATTTTGCCCAGGCTGCTGGGGTTCATCTTGTTAGTGAGTGTGAGATCACATATGGACATTTAGAATGATCTGGGTTTTCCGCTGATAAATCATAAATCCATCGTTGTAGGGCTAGTAATTCGATTTACAAATTACAAGACTTTGAATTGGCCAACTCTTTCTTCTTGGAATGCTGCGGCTATGTATTTTGCTCAGCCTATAAGCGATGTACATCTTTAGGAAGTACACGTTTGTGTTAGCTTAGCTACCTGAATCATTACTTGAACAAATTGAAGGAATTCAGGCATAAGCGCACATCCACTCAGATTTACGCCAGTAGATTAAATCTGAGTTATTTTTTTTTGTGTGTGTTGTTGGTGCCTAGCTTTTTCTTTTTTTTTTTTTGTAGTCTGGAGACATGCAAAGCAAAATGGTGGTGGTGAGAAACAAATAGGGATAAGTAGAAAATTACCATGATTGAAACTGAAAGCTCGGCTAGAGCTAATACGGTTTTAGTACCTACGGGCAATATTGGTATTATAAGAGAGGTTACAGCAAGGTTTTAAAAATTGGCCTGGGCATCGAACTGCTATGACCACCGAGTTCTGGGTCAAATGGGTCGAAATGGTCAAGGTAACTTTTGCATCGAGAAATATAAATAGAGAGGAGGTATGCTGGCTGGGAAAGGAAAGAAAAAAAGAAAAAGGAAAAGGAAGAAACGGAAGGGAAGAAAGAAAATGAAAGAAAATAAAGAAGAAAGGAAGGAGGAGGTGGTGGTGGCGATGACGACGACAATATTAGACAGCAGTGGCGAGCTGGTGGCAGCAGATCCAACCTCAGATTTACCCGATCTCAGATTAGGCAGATCTCTCTCTCTCTCTCACGTCTCAATGATCTCAGATCTGAGAACTGAAATTTCTATCTCAGATCTGAGATATCCTCTGTTTACACTTCCTTAATAGTTAAATAGAATTGTGAACCGTTGCCCGGGTTGAACGGTTTAGCAGTTCGATTGCCCGGGTCAGCAGCTCTTTGACCATTTCAATGTTTTTTGAGAATGAACAGTCCAAAGCAAAATCAGACCTGGAGACCGATTCTGGGTTCGAACAGCCTGACCACCTGGTCTGGTCTGATTTTAAAACCATGGTTTAAAGTAAGGTATTAACGGCCCTTAATAGTACACTAACAGTGGTCCTATTTGTGTTATGTGGGGCTAGTCAACAAAGCATGTATAAGTAGGTTTTAAAAGTTCAATGTGCATTCAAGTAGTTTCCTAAATGCATAGGGTATATATAAGTAATTATGGTCTGATGACCACTGTTAGAGGGTGTTTGGTAGAGTAACATTGTGTTTCCGCTGTGTTTTGGGTTGATTAATAAAAATGTGTAATTTAGGTAGAAATAACACTTTGTATCTATCACCTCAAAGTGTTTTCAAAAATGTTGGTAAAAAAATCTCTCGTACAAATTTGTGTCCATTAACTCAACAACATCACTGTACAAAACTCCCCTTTAGTTGGTGTATCCTACAACTGTACAACTATGAAAGGTTACCTTAGGTTTATGGCTAATACACAACCATTAGATGAACATCTAGATAATTGTATGTTTGAATGGTGTGGCAATTGTGTATAGTATGTACAATGGTATTTGTTTGTATCATATTTGAAACGGATCCAATGAAACATGATTTCACCAAAAACGTTGATGTTTTGCCTAGTCAACTTACAACGAGAGCCCGGATCTCTTGCAAGCAAAAACTTTGCGTACATAACATCCAGCTGCATATTGGGAATATCTTCCGTCCATATATGTTAAATTCATGGGTATTCGCAGTGTTGAAAAAACTTTGGCTGTCTGAAAATTAGCATGGGCTGTTTGGAAGCTTCCTCCTCATGACACAGTACCCCACTCAGTCCCTTGTTTATCTTTTTGGGTTAGCTATCACAAGATAAAGGTTGTGTTTGGTACTATTGTTGACTTGTTTCTACTTGCAACTTTTAGGATTGATGAATGCAAATTTGTGGAATAAAGATATATTTTTTACCAGTTTTTTTTTTTTGAGCTGGTCAATACAAATTGCTATTTTTGCTCCAAATATTGATGTTTCATTTATAAACAACAATGATTAATCCCTTTTTCAAAATTACTCAACACCAAAGGTACCAAATACAAGCAAAGTTTTACCAAACATGTTTATTGTTAAAATGTGGCCATAACGTGTTTGGGCACGGTGTGCTGATTTCCATATGAAACTAATTAGCTGCCACAGCCGAAACAGCCATTCCTACAAACACTACCTAACGTCAAATACAGGTGAAATCTATGGTTATGATTAAGTGTGAGTCTCCTCCCTTGTTTGTTCTGCTTATTTATGAACCACCTCCACCTCAACCCATACCCCACTTTAATTTTTACACATAAAGTCGATCACCGATTTATGAGCAATCGACCAATTATGAATGGATAAAATCATGAAACTAGCTGTCCCCTTCACGCTACCAATATCATCATAAACTATATAACATTCAACTTTCGATGGGATAATTCTAGTTTAATGCATTACTTAAAGGGAAAATCCAAATTAGTACCCTGTAACTTAGGCTTGGTGTTATTTTGGTTCCCAAACTTTAAAATGTGATAATTTAGTATTCAAACTTTTAAAATGTGTTACTCTAATACCTACTGTTAACCAGTTGTTAATTAGTTGTTAATTGGTTTTTGAAAAAGACACAAATGTCTTTTGAGTGTCATTTAATTTTCTTTATCAATCATGTAAACATTGACAAAAAATTAACAATCCTAAATCGTTGCCTCTTTTATTCAAGAAAGTTGGGGTTCAGAATGCCCACTAAGATGTGACCCCAACTTTCTTGAGTAGAAGAAGCAAAGATTTGAGATTGCTAATTTTTTTGTCAATGTTTGGATGATTGATAAAAAAAATTAGATGACACTCGAAGAGCATTTGTTTTTTTTATCAAATGCCACTTAACAACTAATTAACGGTAGATATTGGATTAACACATTTTGAAAGTTTGGATACTGAATTGTTGCATTTTAAAGTTCAGGGGCTAAAATGGCACTAGGCCCAAAGTACAGGGTACTAATCGGAAATTTTCACTTACTTAAATACTATAACGATCAGGCCTACAGGCTATAACCCAAGAGATTATCTAAATCAAATCCAATATTTCAATCCATTGCCGCTAACTAAAATTGAATTGGGAAATGGGAAAGCTTTCTATTTTTAAAATTACTCAATAATGATCAATACGCTTATATTATTTTTATTTTTTTTTTCAAAATTTGGTTTTTGGGTAGTTTAATACCTATATTTATCATTAAAAAATAGCGGAGTCCTAAAACACCTATAAACAGGCATATTGAAAACCAAAAGATACGATACAGTACGTGCGATATAGAGTATATCGTATTGATTTTTTGAACATTGCTTATTTGTTATACACATAGTTTAAAGTATAATAGCCAAAAGGGATGATAGTGATGGTTAGAGTCACTTGCAGGTTTTAAGATTTCAAGCAGACATAACCTTGGAACGGTATTAACAACCTCCTAATACTTGTAGTTGACGTATATGTGGATTCATTATTCGTACATATCATACGATACACAAAAAAATATCGTAACATTGTTTGTAAAGTCAGCCTTTTAGTTGGGAGGGGCGGAACCAAGTATACTGGTAGGGGGTCCTGGCCCCTCAAATTTTTTGCTAAATCATTATTTATATAGGATTGCTGATGTAACCGTTTTTGGTCACGTACYATTTTTTGGGATGTGTAAAATTTTTTGGCTAAGTACCTCGTGTTTGACCTGTGGTGACGTGCCTTGGTGATGAGTTACTTGGTGGCGAATTTCCCAGGGGAGAACTGCCTGGTGGCGAACTGCTTGGTGATGCTCCCTGGTGGCGAACTGCCCGGTGGCGAACTGCCTGGTGGCGAACTGCCCGGTGGCGAACTGCCTGATGGCAAACTGCCTGATGGCGAACTGCCTGGTGGCGAACTGCCTGGTGGCAAACTGCCTGATGGAGAACTGCTTGGTGGCGCTGCCTGATGGCGAACTGCCTGGTGACGAATTGCCTGGTGACGAATTGCCTGATGGCGAACTGCCTGGTGGCGAACTGCCCGACAGTTCTCCCTGGTGGCGAACTGCCTGATGGCGAACTGCCTGATGGCGAACTGCCTGGTGACGAACTGCCTGGTGACGAACTGCCTGATGGCAAACTGCCTGGTGGCGAACTGCCCGGCAGTGCTCCCTGGTGGCGAATTGCCTGGTGGCGAACTACCTGGTAGTACTCCCTGATGGCGAACTTGTCACTTGACTTGCTCCTAGGTGGTCTGCAACTCAGAGGATGGTGGAGCTCCCTGGTGCAGCGCTACCCGACTACCCCCCGCGTGAGGTGATTTTCTCTCCTTTGTAGACGGCGGGAGCTGAATCAGAGGACCCGGGGGTATTTTCCCGGCGGGGACT